TGCTTGACGGGGTCCGCTCAGCGGCCCGCGCCGCAATGAAGATTCTGGCGCTTGAATTGGTGTGTCATGTGTCAGTTGGGTGCTGGCCCGCAGAGCTTTCAGTCCGAAGGGTATAGGGAAGCTCCTCGGGCACCTCACCTTTGCCTACGCGCCGAGGAGGTCTATGCTGTCAGTGCTGATGTCTTGCTGCCTTGCTACCAGGGGGGGTCCGTTGCAAAAAGAGAGATGCCTTTCGGGTCCCCCTCCTGCTCGCCAGATCGTTCTGGGGCCTTGTCTGGGACCGGCGGGTGATAGCTTTTGACGCCTGCTTGATTGGGATGGGGGTCGTGTCAGCTGGCGTGGATCTGGATTTTGCGAAGGGATGTGGTCGTCGTGACGAGAGACAGCGTTTCCGTAGTCCAGAAGAGCTTTGGGTCTCTCGCCCCTGTCTTCGTGCTATGTGTGGCCTAGAACTTGGTGATCGAGATGCCCTTTCGGGCCCCTTCATTGTTGGGGTGCCCCGGAATTCTCTGGGGTGCCCGCTAATCCTGCAAGAAATTTGCAGTGGCGCCTGTTTTGTTCGGGGCGTTTTACTCGGAAAGAACCTGTTCGCATTCTAGAGGCGCAGGCGGTTATTTGGGTTCTCCGGCGTCAGTCCAAGGATCATCGTTATCATTGTCGGCGTCGTTTTTACATATGTGATTCTATGAGCGTGTTCCTGGCCTTCTCAAAGGGAAGCGTGCGATGCTAAACTCAACCACTGTTGTAGACGGTTTACGGCCCTCTTAATGGCCACCAATCGCAAGGTTTGGGTGCGATGGGTTCCATCTGAGCTGAATCCCGCTGATGAGCCATCTCGTCGGTTTGAGCCGACTTCGAGTGGCAAGGCCCCGCGGCCTCCCCCTGGGCTCGCCCCTCCCGGCGCCGACTCCGCGATCCATGGGCCTCGTGCGGCGCGTGTTGGCGCCGGCGAGATTTCCCGCGCTGGCCGCCGACCTGGGGGGGGATGCCAAGACGAGGCAGCCGACTGGGGCACTTGCGGGGGCGGAGGAGCGGACCCTGAAGAGGACCAGAGAGCTGAGACTGACCGCCAATCAGGGTCGCGCCGAGAAGAGTCTACACACCCAGAGCAATTACTGGACATTAGCCGTGCGGAGTGGCAGAAGATTCTTGGAGACTCGGGTGGTGAAGCCCGCCGCCGGGGGGGCCTATGCCCAGTCCGTGAAGATGATCTTAGACTGCGCCGAGGTGATGGATGTGAACCCCCTGGGCCCCCCGGGCTTCGATCGGATGCTGCGCGACCTCTTCGACAAGAAATGCTTCGGGGGCGAAGGCGGGTGCGTGGGCCACCGGGTGATAGCTGCTTGGTTGGACTGCGTGCCCGAGGGCGGGGAGATGGGGGATCTGTGTCTGCCTCGTGCTCATCGTGCTCTCAAGGAATGGGGCAAGGAGGCCCCCGGCTTCTCTCTGCGTTCGGGGGCCTTCGAGGCGCGGGCCGCTCTCTGCGCCGTGCTGTTGAGGGAACAGACCGAGAAGTCCAGGCAGGCGGCGCTCGAGCTGCTGGTCGTGCTCGGCGCCTGCGCGCGTCCAGGGGAGGGGCGCGCCTTGCGCGCTCGCTGGTTGGCGGCGCCAGCTCGCAACGTCGGCCGCCGCTGGGCCCTCGTCTTCCGGTCGCGCGAGGGCCGCGCCCTAACCGAGGTCGGGCGCTTCGACGTCGCTGCGGAGTGGGGGGGCCGCCCTCGTCTCCAGTGGGTCGGGGGCCTTCTCGGCCAGATGAAGGGCGCCTGGCGGGGGGCCCGCCGCTGCAGTGCGCCCGCGAGGACTTTGCCGAGATGGTCCAGAAGGCGGCGCCCAAGACCGGCGCGCCCCGCGTGGTTCCATACCTAGCTCGCCACAGCGGGGCTTCGATCGACGCACTGAACCACTTGAGACCGCTGGGGGAGATTCGAACAAAGAGGGAGATGGCCGAGTATGTGCAGTGTGACGCGATGCGAAAAAGGAGGGCGGATCCTGGAGAGGTGGCAGAGCTTGCCGAGACCTGTCAGAGACTGCGCCGCCGCTTGCGTCTAGCATCTCCAGGGGATCTTCGGGCCAGAACGGTTTCTTCGGGGCGCTGGCGCTGCCCGTGACTGGAGCGTGGAGGACCTCTTCTTGGGCAGCGGGGGGTTCGCGAGGTCCGTGAAACAGATTGGGGGCGGTGTGTCTCGACAGGCGTCATCCACGGACCCCGTTCCGATCTGACCAGGGGAGATATCCAGAGAAAAGTGATCGCTCGCCTCCAGAAGCCCGAATGCAAAGGAGCCTTGACAGGACGCCCGTGTGCGACCTTCTCAAGAGCCCGTAGAGGACAGCCTCCTACGCTTAGGACAACTGTGCACATTTTTGGCGTTCCTGATTTCTCAGTGTCGGACCGACTGAAGGTCCAAATCTGGAACCGTCTTGCCCGTTTTTCTCTGCGAGTTGTTCTTCTCTGCCGTACTTTGGGGGAGGATCTGTGTGATCGAGAATCCCCAGACCTCGATGCTCTGGCGCCTTCCCAGCTTCGAGACGGCAGCTTCGCTCTCTAAGATTGTAATTCGTGACGCGCATTTGTGTCAGAGTGGAACCGAGTAGCGAAGGGCCACCCGACTCATGATATGTGATGCTGTTGACATCTCAAGAGATCTTGGATGCAGATGCTCGGGTCGAAGGCATTTGCAGTATAACGCAATGTGCACGCAGAGTCCTTGAAGGCAAGGCCCCCGATGGTTGTTTCCGGACGCTGATCGCGCAACCCTATCCCCGACCCGTGTGCGCATGTCTAAGTAATCTTTTGAAGCCACACTAAACAGAGCACGCATGCCATCCTGGAGTTTTTGATGTCTGTGATTCCGGGAGTTTGTTTTGCCTTGCTGCCTCTGCGTGTCGCATGGCACGTGTGGACGAAGGCTCCCTGCGAGTGAACTCCAGGCTTGGCTTCGCTACGTAGTCTGTTGCTTAATGAAAAATATCACGGTTGTGCGGGCACTTTAATAATGACAATGTCAACGGTTCTGAGTACATCCATTTCTCTATAGCCGTTCCTGTGCTCCTCACCCACTACCGCCCTTTTTAATGGGGGTGTGTTTTGCCTTGCTGCTTCTTCGTGTCGCAAGGCAGCGTGTGGACGAACCCCCCCGCGAGTGCTCTCCAGGCTTGACTTCACTACATAACCTGCAGCTGAGTGAAACATGTAACGATCTTGGCCTCTTCGGGCCTTCCGGGAGGACCTGCGGTTGGCCTCTTGGGCTGTCTGGGAGGCCATTTGGGGGCTTCTTGGGTCGTCTTGGAGGCTTCTTTGGCCGACTTGGAGGCATCTTGGACCTTTCTGGGCCGTCGTGGAGGCCATCTTGGACCATCTTGGGCGAACTTGGAAACCACCTCGGGCCATTTGAGCCGTCGTGGAGGCCAGCTTGGGCCATCTTGGAGCCGTCAGGAGCAGGAAAAACCTTTGCAACCACCTCATATGGTCCCTTCCGGGTGGCCGGCGGGCTGGGCCGGAGCCCCAGGGGCGAGTTTCTTTGGGAAAAAGAGCCAAACCCAAACCGAAAGGATCGAGCACGCCGGGCACCCTTGTGGCAAGCCAGCACGGGGCGGCGGATCTCATTGCCTTCGACCCATCCAGCTGCCGTTCCTGGGTTGTGGGTATGAAGCTTATTGGATGTTCGTTGGGATCTCGTGGGTGGCGTTTCGGGGGCCTCTTGGAAGCAGTTTGGACGGCTCTCGGGGGCCGTTTGGGGGCCGTTTTGGGGTCTCTTGGGGCCTGTTGGGGGCTTCGGGGCCTCTTGGGGCCTCTTAGGTGCCCAGTGGGGCCCCCTGGGCGCCTAGTGGGGCCCCCTTGGGGCCTCTTGGGGCTCTCCTTTTTCTCCTCCTCATTTGATCCTACCGTCAGAGTGTCCCCCGAGGGTTTCCTCAACCGCTTGGGGACAAACGTAGTCCAAGAGCTTGGCCAGAATTTGGCCCAACGTTTGGCCACATATGCGCTTCCAGGGGGCTGCGTTGACTCGCCGTCGGCGTCTTCGATTTGCCGCCCCGTGCTCTTGCCGCAGAGGTGCTGGAGCAAGTTATTCAAAGGTTTCAAAGCTATTCCAATAGGTTCCCGGTGGCCTTTGGCACGACTTGCCAGTCCCGCGCCAATCAGGTACCCGTTGGTTTTTCCGCCCAAGATGCCTCTAAGTCGGTCTCCACGATGGTCTCCAAGACGGACGAGATGGGCGAAGGTGGCCCCCGAGGTTGCGCAAATCCCCCAATGCGCAGGGAAAGCGGTCCAAGGGAGCCTTCAGGAGGCCCGAAGAGCATAATTCATTGATTGCCCATAGGCTCGATCATGATTTTACCGTTCTCGTCACCTCGGTATTGATGATATCCTAGACGGCCCAACAGATCCCCGAGATCGCCCGAAGACGGCACAGGAGGCCCTCAAGATAGCCCCAGACGGCCCCAAGCCTGCCCTCAGTACCCCAAGCCCTAAGAGACCCAGGGGCGACAGACGGCCTAAGAGCCCCCCAAGACGGCCCAACAGGCCCTCAGACGGCCCAAGCGGGCCCCATGTGGTTCCCAATAAGGCCGACTACGGTCATAACGTAGCCCCAAGGCAGCCTTGGGACGGCCCCAGTGGGCCCCTCCAGGAACCGATTCAAGACGCTTTGCATATTGCCTTTCGCACAGACTAGCGGCCACCAGCGCCTGGCCTTTCCACGAACGAACCATAGGCAATCCAAGAGTTGTTGCTTTCGATGCTTTCCTGCCTAAAACGGCCTCGGGAAGACTTCAGGGAGCCTCAGGGGCGCCCAGGACAAGCTCAAGCGGACCCATGACGGCCCCGAGAACCCTGCAAGACAGCCCCTGACCCCCCGCAAGAGGGCCTCGAGACGGCCCCAAGTCCCGCCCAGACAGCCTGAAGGTGGTCCAGTCCAATCGAGCCCCCTTGGGAGAGTTCGGGAGAAGCGTCGCGCCCAAGACGGCCCCCAGACCCCGAACAGGCGCCCAAGAGAGCCCAAGAGACCTCGGGGAGGCTCTGGGGACCCCCCAGGGAGTTTCCACGATACGTCCCCAAGGTGTTCCCGAAGCGCACTGCAACCTCCGTGCATCGCCACGGCCCCGGCACGCCACGAGCATCGTAGAGCCGCTCCCAAGCACGAGTGGCTCAAGATTGCCAGAGGCCTCCTCCCCAGAACGTTCTCTGTGGGGCTGGGCGTGAGCCCTCGAGGCAACAGAGCCTCCTCCTCCCTCCTCCTCCCACGCAGGGGAGAGCGTCTGGCGACATTCGGGTTTGTGCAGAGAAAAGAAAGAGCTCCAGGGTTATCAACATGAACTTGCAGCGATCTACGACAAATTCGAACACGATCTGTTCCAGATTTCGCTTACTAAACGCACAAGCCGAGCCGGCGCGCCTTTAGGCCGCGAAGGCGACTTGCCCACGAATCGCATGGGCCGTTTTCTAGCTGCCAAGGCGAGTTGGCAGTGCGATCCGATCTTTCGAGGCCTGCTCGCCACCATGGCATTTTTTATATAGCTCCGTGAGTGCACGTGCGGGCAAGCAGCCCATCTGTACTCTGAAGACAGCTTGCAGCGGCTGGTTGTCGCATCCTTCCAGCGGCGCTCAGACATCTACGCAACGGGGCGCGGCTCCGGAGGCTCCCGGGCTGGAGCCCCGACCGCAGAGGGGTGGACTGGGGCTCCCCGCGCCATTTCCTCCTCCCACATCTCTCCCGTCCCCCCCTGGCATTCTCCCTCCTCTCTCTCTCTCTCCCCTCCTCGTCACGTCCTTTGTCTCATGCTTTTCGGCGGGATCGGCATCAGCTGGGGGACCCGCTTCAGTCCAAATGGGCCGGTGTTTCGGCGCGCGACGCCACGAGGGCGATTTCTGCTGCACCCGCCAGCGTTGTTCGGCAGCCAGAGCTTCGGTATCCAGGTGCCAACCCCTGCTCACGGGGCGTTAGTAAACGGGCCGGCAGCTAAGGGTGCGTTCTCGATGGTGTTTTCAAAAAATTGATTTGCCGCACACATGTGCGTGGTAGATCCCACCGCCCAGAGTTATGACGATGTGTCGACGTTTTTGTCGACCCGATTTATCACGCACTAGTGCAAGGTGAATGCCCTGTCACCCCGTTCTCGCTTGAAGAGGCCCCTTAGCTACCGCCCCGTTTACTAACGCCCCGTTTGCCCACTGGTGATCCCCACTGCTCCTTCGTTCTCCCTGCCGAACGGCTTTGCAGCCCGGCAGCGCGCGCGTGGTAGAGCCAGCGCGGCCCGCACAAGCAGGGTGAGGCCTGGGGCACGGCCGGGGCCAGCCAGCAAAAGCCGGTCCGCCGCCGAGCGGGCGGCGGGCCCCGCCGGTGGGCCCGTGGCGTGCGGTATCGAAGCGGCATCTTTTCGGGTGACGGAGTCTATCCTCAGAGAAGGGGAGGGTACCCATACCTCTACCCCTCCCTCGTCCTCGCTTTTTTGGGCCTCGTGGGAGGCCCTCGTTCGTCGCCACCGCTGGATTCGCTTCGAAATCTTGGTCAGAACGCACCCCGGGACAGGCCTGGGGAGTAGCGGTATCGGTACCTGTTGGTTTCCCCAATTGCGCGCGGTATCGAAGCGATCTCTTGTTGGGTGACGGAATCTATACACTTGAGTAGCTCCAGCCTCCTTCCCGGAGGCGGTCCGCGTTCCTCGCCGAGGGCAATGCTTTAGACAAGGCAGTCACTGTCATGTGGGACTTGTTAATTAGCCACGAGCTCATTCAGTTTGATTTCAGTTATCACGTTGAGTATTTGTCATATCGATGCATTTTCCAGAGACTGAGTCATATGTTATTGCATGGGCGACTCGATGAGGGAAGCGTCACGGTAAAAACGAATCCATACATATCCACCGCCCCCTGACCGGGCCCTTCCTGGGCCCGCGAGCTGGGTGCACGGCCTCCTGGCCAATCCAGGAGGGCGTGGTGTGTACACCGCTGTTGCGTTCAGGATGGGCTTGGCCAGGGAGCAGTGGATATGTATAGATTTCGTCGCCCTATCTTTTGTCCGTCGGCGAGCCCAAAGGGGTTTCGTCGGTCGTGTTCAGATGTTCTCATTGGTTCTCCGCGGTTTTCCGGCCTCGGGATGCGTTCCAGCGGCTTCGCCTCGCCGAGGGCGTTCCGGATGTGCCCGGTTCCTCCCGAACGGCCACGGGAGAGCCAAGGTATGACACAGAAACCACAGGCGTCCGAGAGGGGGCAAGCCATCTCAGAAGACGGCGGGGCTTCTCAGAAGCGCTCGCGCCTCTGCGATGCCTTCTGTGTCTTCTCAGAAAGCTTCTCAGAAGGCTGAAGGCCTTTTGAGCCTTCTGAGAAGCCCTGCCCCCTCTGCCTTCCCAGCCGCCAATGTATCGACTTATGATCAGAGGCGGCCTCGTTGTCGAGTGGCGGCGCATTCGGAGTGCTTCACGTCTGGATTTGGCAATGGGGCCAGTGAGTTTTACAGGGGAAAGCGGTCCGCTTGCCGTCCTGAAGGATGCTCCTCGCATTTCCATGTGGGGCCTTCTGGTGATCAAGAGGCGCCCAAGACGGATCAAGAGCTGGGCCACCGAGCATCGCAATTCAGCGTCGGGCTACCCGGGGACCCGTTCTCAGCGGAACCGAGGTCGGGCCCGCCGCCCCGCTGCGAGTGGACTCGGTGGCCTGCTCCTTCGTCCTCCCGGCCGACCTGCCCCCGCAGCCCGGCAGCGCGCGCGTAGTAGAGCCAGTGCGGCCCGCGCAAGCAGGGCGAGGCCTGGAGCACGGCCGGGGCCAGCCAGCAAAAGCCGGTCCGCCGCCGAGCCGGCGGCGGCGCCCAAGGCGGATCAAGAGGGCTCCAAGAGGTCGTTGAGATATCGCCAGATTGCTCCAGGGGGTTCGGGATTGCTGAAGATTAGGTGGCGAAGAACGGTATTTGATAGACTTTTCCGTCGTCGGGGGCGCCTGTCCCTGGGCGGCTGGAAAGTTTATACCCCTACGCGGCACCGTGGGGGTATAAACTTTGCAGCCGCCCAGGGGGGCAGGCGTCCCCCCCCGACGGCGAAAAAGTTTATCTTATACCGTTCTTCGCCCCCTGAGAAGAGACGGTGGAGGTGTGCCGAGAGCGTCTCGGATGCGCCAGGGCCTCCAAGAGAGGGAGAGGCCGCAGGCAACCAACCAGCAACGAGGAGTATGCTTACACATTGCGCTTTTGTCAAACACATGCTCGGCCTTCCGGTACGTGATGCCTCCAACTTGGTTTTCCGATGGACCCAAGACGGCCCAAAAAGGGTTTCAGCAACTCACGAAAGAGGCCCACGAGGGGTCGCTGGGCCTTCAAGACGGCTCCGAGGCGGTTACCGGATGCGTCCACGCCAGCCCAAGAGGGCCCGAAAATTAGGTAGGACGGCGCCAAGGCAAAGAGGGTTCCTAGAGAGGCTCAAGACGTGCCACGACGTCCCAGTTGGTCTCTGGGAGCGCCCGCGAGGCGGTGGCCCATACAGAGTGTCACAGTGTTCCCGGATGCCCCAGGCGTGCCCAGCAGGCGCCAAGAGGAGTGGAAGCAGCGCACTAGCCCCGATTGGGCCGTTCGGGCTTCGGGGGGTATTCAGACGCGGCGCGCTCATCTCCCTCTTTCAGGCCACGGCTCACTGCATGAGCTTACCTATTGCAGGTCGGCTCGCGTCGGAAACCTGGTTTACCTGGCAACATTTTGATTCGCACTGCTCTCCGCAGGGTTTTGGGTCGAGTGCCCGCGACATCTGCGCCTCGCGCGTGAGCGAATTCAGTGCATCGGTTGAAGCTGGCGGTGCTTCGAGTCAACCCGCTGCTATCTGAGCGCAGCCTCACCGTAACTCTCATGCGAAAGCGTGCATAACTCATCGATTAGGGTTTGACCAGAGAAGCAGTCTCTTCCATGAGTTGATGTGCTGGTCCTACGAAGTCTCCTTAGCTGTGGCAGGGGCAGAGTCTCTCTGCTTGCTCGTTCTGTGTATGCGCAGATCTCAAACCGACAGGCGGAATGCGTTGATGGTGCTACCGCTCGTTCTGCAGGAATGGTGCCAAGTCGTGCTGTGGGTGCACATCGGGTCGTCACCGACACAGTGCGACAACACAAATCGTATGTGGTCAGGTTTCGTCACCTACGTAATTTGCAGTGTGCCAGCTCGGTTTAGCTTGCAGCCGCTGCTCCTGCGTTATCCAGAAGGACTGCGCCCTCTGCCGTCGGCCCTCTCTATCAGAATGGCAGATATCAGAGCCGTGTCCGGTCGTTGACGCCGTCTTGAAGACATTTGGGACCATGCGGGGACGGATAGGACTCAGCAGCACATACTGAGATGTTTTTATTGAGCACTTCTTTTTTGGGGAGCGTTCCCCGCGCGACTGACCTAAATTAGACGGGAATCTCGCCTCGGCAGTGTGAATCTGGCTTAATTTGCAGAGGATTCTGTGGGTCAGCTGACCCGGTGACCCGGTGACCCAGTGGGGTGGGTCAGCTGACCCGGTGACCCGGTGGCCCACATCGCCTGCCCGGCCACTGCACCGGCGAAACTTGTCACCAACCAGATCGAACCTCGGGGGCGGAAAAGAGGGGGGTGATGACTAGGGGGGGGTGGATTTCATGGCGCGGGCCATGACATTTCCTCAGATTCCATGGCGCCTCCTCTTATTTCATTGCGTCCCTGGCCCCCCCGCTGGGCCGCGCACGTGCCGCCGGTCATGACTTGCACCCCCCCCCTCTTGGACGCCCCCCTCTTGGCCGCTCCCGAGAACCTGCCCAGGAGCTCGGCCGCCGGCCCCGCCAGGACGGTGCCCCACGCCTTCTTCAGGAGGGGAAAAAACACACAGACACAATTATTCGTCGATTCCCCAGAAAATATAGGAAAACATGGGAAGTGGGAGGGAAGACAGAAACCCAGAAAATATGGGGAAATATGGGGAATATTTTATTTGTGTGTATTTATTTGTGTGTCCTGGGGCCCCTTCCCTTCTGGAGGGAGGCGTCGTCGGTGGCCGCCCTGACCACCTCCCGGGCGAGCTGCCACCGGCCTCGGCGGGCGCCCGCAGCCCGGCTCGGGGAAGCGCGGGGAGGCGCCTCGGTTCGCCAGGCACGCGGAGCCAGGCCTCGCGGTCCTGAGCCAGGAGAGGATCGGGGGGCACCAACTATACTCAGGAAGGAAAAAACACACAGACACAATTATTCGTCGATTCCCCAGAAAATATGGGAAAATATGGGAAGTGGGGGGGAAGACAAAAACCCAGAAAATATGGGGAAATATGGGGTATATTTTTATTTGTGTGTATTTATTTGTGTGTCCTGGGGCCCCTTCATATACACCAACACCGATCCTGGCCCGGGATCACCCCGGGCCCATGATCGGTGTGTATGCCTCCTTGCCCAAGGCAGGAGGGCGTATGCACCGATCCTGGGCCCAGGGTGATCCTGGCCAGGATCGGTGTTGGTGTATAGTTGGTGCCTTCCTAGAGGAAGTACCGCGGGCTGGTGAGGAGCCAGATGGGAATCCTCGGACACCTGCGGCCTCCGCACTCGACTGGCCAGGTTGGCAGAGCACGCGAAGAAGTCGATGCAGCTGGAGCTTGCCCCCTGCCGGCACGTGGAGTCCAGCGGCGTTAGGATGATGCCCTGCAGCGCGTGCACCCAGTCGAACCCCAGCCTGCTCGACTCCATGTTGAAGGCGCCAGCCACAATCCAGTCGTAGCCATGGGCCGCCACCGCGGTGATGCTGCGGCAGAGCTGCGCAACCAGGTGTTGGTTGACGGCGCCCAACCCCTCGCTCGCGAGGATGTAGGCGGAGAACACCACCAAGCCCCCGGGCACTCCCCAGTGAACGTGGGCAGCGTATATCCTGCCTGGCTCCACGACGTGGGACTCCAGGCCCTTGGGCACCGTCACGGCGATGTACGGCGTGGTGACTATGCCAACTCCGCCCGTGGTTCCCTTCCCGCTGTCGGACGGCACGGCAGGGGCCCACAATCCTGGTCCTGCAACTCCCCGAGCCGATCCTGCATCCTGCGGTGCTCCTGGAACGCCACGACCTCGGCGGAGGCCTCGCCCAGGAAACGCCGCAGCGGCCCGTGCGAGAAAGTGTTGGCCGTGACGATCTGGCCCTTGGTCGTCAAGGGCCCTGCGGCGCTGGCACTGCCAGCCGCGCCCAGGGTGGGAAGATGGCCTGGGGGCTCATCTTCCCAGCTGCTGGCGCCGTCAGGGGGCCCTGCAGCGCGGCCGCTGCCAGGCGCCGCCGACGAAGCTCCGGCCGGGTTAACGTCAGCGCCTCCAGCCGGGGGTCCGTGGCTGGCGCCGGCAGGGGGCCCCGCGGCGCGAGCGCTGCCAGCCGGCCCAGGCGGAAGGCCCGAGGCGCCCTGCTGACCGTGCTCCAAACGCTCCACGGCAGCCAGCGCATCCTGGCAGGGAGGCCAAACACCTGCAATGGCCCCGGACTCGGGCGGATCAGCAGCCAGCGCATCCTTGCTGCCCGTCACCGTGGCGAAGTTCACCATCATCACGGTGCTCGCGGAATAACGACGTACCAGCTTGGGAAGTCTTCCCATACGCCTAGTACATGACAGTGCCGGGCGCCGCGCGAGCCACCCTGCGCCCGGACGCCCCTGGGCCGATGGCGGAGAGTGCTTGGCGCAGTGCATCGGCATGGGCTCGGGCCTGCTCGTCCTCGACGGGGGCCCGCGCGCCGGCTTGGTGCAGGACCGCTCGCAAGTCCTCGATGGAGGGCTCCGCGGGCGGCCCCGTGGCCTCAGCCGCCGCTGCTGCGCCCGCTCCGGCGCCCGCTCGGGCAGCCGCCGCGGCAGCCCCCTCCAGCCCGAGAGGCGGCTGAGCAGGCTGCGGAGCCGGCTGCTGCTGCGCGGCAGGCGGCGCCGCGCGAGAGGCCGCGCGCTGGGCCTCGGCGACCTCCCGCTGCTTGGCCTGCAGCGCGCGGGCCACGCTCGCCGAGAGCTCCTCGCCACCGCCGTGCTGCTTGATGAAGGCCTCCAGCTCGTCGACCGAGAGCCCCAGGCCGAGGGCCGCGTGTTGGCCAGACGGGAACTCGGCCTCACGCTTCGGCGCAGGAGCCAGGGCGACCCGCCGCTGCACCTCGTCCAGCTGCGCCTGGAGCTCCACGTGTTCGCGCCGCTTCTCCTGCAGCCGGCCCTGACGCTCAAGGATCGAAGCCTGCAGTTCTTCAAGCTGCTTGTTCTCGGCCTCCAGCACCGATTCCATCTTGGCCACGGCCTTGCCGACATTGTCGCACTCCCGCGAGAGCCGCAGGACCTGCGCCCCAATGGGCTTGGGCGCGCGCTGCTGCGCAACCAGCTCCGCGCGCTGCTTCGTGAGGCCCTCGCGCAGCTCCTTGGAGATGTCAGCGATCTCGGGCTTGGAGAGCTGGGCGATCTGCGAGCCCAACATGGCAATCTGGATCCCGATATCCTTGCCATCATCCCCGTTCGACTCCTCGACCTCCATGCTGTCACCGCCCCTGGTTGCGTCTGCACGCGCCGACTTCTCGGCCTTGAGCTGGCGCTCCAACTCCTGGGTCTTCTTGGCCATGCGTTTCTCGTTGTCCGACTGGCCCCCTGTTGGGCTACGGCTGGGACGGACATGCGGCAACTCTTGCTCGACGTGCCCGAGGAAAGCCGCCCCCTTGGACCTTTGGACCGCTTGCACTTGAAGCACGCCGTGTTGCTGGCCCAACTGACAACCGGCATGCCGACCTGGGACCCACGCTCATGCTTGCACTTGTTGCAGTGCCACTCCTTACAGGTGCGCGGCCAAGGCGGCGCCATGCTCCCTCGCCCGACGCCGTCGTCCGCGAGGCCCGCTTGGCGCGGTGGACCGTGCTCCTGCAGGAGCTCACTGAAAGGTGTAGAAGACTGGTGGCACGGGGGCCTTGAGGCTTGAGCCAAAATGGCTACGGACGAGGAGGAGAAGGAGGAGGAGGAGGAGGAGGAGGAGGAGGAGGAGGAGGAGGAGGAGGAGGAGGAGGGAGGAGGGGGAGGAGGAGGAGGAGGAGGAGGAGGAGGGGAAGGCGGAGACCCAGAAAGGAGGAGGAGGGTCGCGGCCGGGGTTGGGCTGGGGCCAGGGCCGGGGCCGGGGCCAGGGCCGGGGCCGATGCAGGGCTGGGGCCACGGCCGGGACCAGGGCCAGGGGGCGGGTTGGGGCCAGGGCCAGGGCCGGGGCCAGGGCCGAGGCGGGACGAGGGGTGCTGAGCTGCCTTGCCGACAGGGCTACCCAACCCTACGAGGGGCTATAGTGCCGGCTCGGGCGAACAAAATATCCGTTTGTGCACGGGTGGAGCTCCGCGGGCGACCCAGGAGAGTCGCGCTCGACTGGGCACCTCGGCGTTCACCGCCAACGGGGATCCGAGCGCTTTCGCCAAGTCCAAGACAGTGGAAGGATACTGCCGCTGTTCGTCTGAATCGATCTCACGCCGGGATGACCTCTCTGAACAACGAGCCCGGATCGGTCCCCTCATGGTGGGCTCACAGTGCTATTGACACACGTTCCCTATATCTTCGATTCTTGGAATCCCTGAAAAGACGATCCATGGCGTGCACGCAGCATTGCGTGCACGCAGCATTGCGGAGACCCGACGCCCACGTCGGCTTGGTGGCCCCACTTGTGGCAGCCAGTTGACCAACTCTCCGAGCGTATGGCGTGCCCCCCGTCGGCGGCTTTCGAGCGGCCGGGGGCCGAGAGACGAGGTGGTCGCCCCCGGGCAGGGCTGGCCTGCAGGGGTCGCGCAGATGAGAGAAATGGGAGCTGTAATTCCGACCCCTGGGTGGCTTGCTCAGTCATTACTCCAGATTTCGTAATAAGGGGAGGGGGGTCTCATCTCGGGGGAGGTCTCTTCCAGGCTGTCTTGGAGGGCCCGGGGGGTCTGGGGACGATGTTTTGGAGGGTTCTCCCACGGGGGAGGTCTGAAATGGCTTGTCTTGGAGGGTCCAGACCCCCTCCCTTCTATTACGAAATCTGGAGTGCATGCCCATGACACCTGCGCATCCTGGGCCTGCGAACCCAGGGCCGCAGGCGGATACTTGTCTGCGACTTTTGGGTGCGCTTCGAGGCCGGCCACATCGGGATTCTAGATCGCTGGCGCGACGAAGGGACCTTCGCGAGGCGTTGGGCTCGAGGCGACCCCACGGCGAGAAGAATAAATTTGCGTTTCAGGTCAGTCATTTGATTATGTTTTCGAGGTTACGTCTTTCTCGTCCATTGTTTCCTTGGGTGGCGGGCAGTACTTTCCAGCAATGCATAATATTGTGGCATGGCGTGAATTGGGGCCTGCCCAGGTGGCCAAGCCACCCGCGCTGGTCTCATTCAACCGCGCAGGCAACGAGGAGGAAACTGCATGTCAGTCCAGCCTTGCACTGGCAACCTTCTCGTATGCCGCTATCCATACGGCGGGGGCGGACATTGCTAGTGGTAGGGACGTCGAGGTTCGTGCGTCCCGAGCACAGACGAACACTAGGCCCCCATCGTCCATCGCAGATGATGCTGCCATCTTTGTTGTCACATCCGAAGTACCTCGGCGGTCAGTTTGATTGGCACGAGGAAGCGTCAGGGGGCAATGAGGAACTTTAAACTCGGGCAGTCGCAAAATACAATGAGCGTGTTGTTACGACCGCCTTTCGCTTCATTCAAGCATACAACGAGAAGGGCTGGCCCGTCGTCGGCTTAGCTGAGGACGTGGCACAGCGCATGATCGTGTATGATACCGCCGATTCACTTGGTGGTGTGACAGAACCGACCATCGCTGGGTCACCCCGTGTTGCAAGCACTGAGGCTGCCGCTGGCTCAGCCAATGACGTTGCTTCTGGCGCGGCTGCTGGGTACGCCAGTGGCCCTGCACCTTTCCCCAAGCTTCTGCCTCCACCGCGCGCTCCTGGTCCTTGTCGATTAGATGGGTCAGCTGCCCCTGAGCGTCGCGCTTCTGGTTCGACTGGTCATGCACCGCCGCAATCAGCCAGACGTGTGGGTGAACCACCGTCACTTCAAGTCGGAGGCACACCGATCTTGACGGAGGCCCCACCTGTTGCCACGGCCTCAGTGGCGTCATCGGTACGACGCCGTCAGGGCGCAGAGATGCAAGAACAATATGAGCGGGTTGATGCCGGAGACTGGGACAGCAGTCGGGACTACGTCCAGGTCTACGGTTGGTGGGTATACAATTGGAGGGAGGTGAGGTGGCAGTGGTGGTCGAACCAATCATACCACCGGCGGAGGATGGATCGTGAACGCAACAGAGCGCCCCGCAGAAGAAAGGGGGAGGGAAAATTATGTTATGCTCTTTCATGGTGAATTGGCGCAGGAGAGCAACTTCTTCAGCTGCGGACGGATGAGTGGAATATGCTGCTTGCTGCCCAGGGCTATTTGGTCATGATGAAGTCCCAGATGACGAACTGGACCATGAATTTCAGCGTGTCTTTAATCGTAAACTGGCGCATTTCATTTGTGGACTACGTCATTTTGCTTCGGCTTGCTTTCAGAGCCCTGCCAGGAGCAGGCGCCATCCCGCCTCGTGTGCAGTAGAAGCTTTTTGCGGCTGGCACCTTGGGGGCCGAAGGGCTCTGGGAAGGCGCGGAGGCTGGCAAGTCCGAAGTGGGCCGAAGCCAGGCCTGCGCGTCTTGCCGCGGGGGGAGTTGTGGGGACTACGCAGCCGCCGCTGTCGCTCGCACGCGACGTACTGGTGTTGATACCGCAACTGCGCGGAGTTACCCAAGCGAGTGAAGGAGCGCGTGGCGCCGTCGCCTTCGTCGTTCGTCGTCGCTGCCAGCCGGTCCCCTCCCGACCTTCAGAAGCTCGGGTGTGCATCTATCTGTGTACTGGATATTCCCGTAGAGCCATGTCGGATACTGGGATCCAGCCAAATCTTGACGCTTCGCATATCCCCACCAGCCCATCCACAGACGATGCCCAGGTGAGTTGTACGCGACTTTGCGGACCAGCCGAATAAGGAAAGGCGGGAAAAAAGGACGAAGGGGATGAGGAGAGGAGAGGAGAAGAAGGAGAAGGAGGAGGAGGCGGAGGAGGAGGATACAGTGAAGGAGGACCAAGAGGAGGCGGAGGAGGAAAAGGAGGAGGAGGTTGAGGAGGAGGAGGAGGCGTTGGAGGGGGAGGAGGAATAGTATGAATAATACAAATCACATTGCTAATGATAACACTAAGAAGAATAATGATATTGTGGAGGCGTATACGAACAATACTATTAACAAGGAAAATAATGATAATACTCGCAGGCCTAGAGATTGACACCAACACCAATTTCGGCGGTGTGCCTCCACCGGGGGAAGAAGATCCCGATCTCGGTGATGGTGGTAATATTCTGGCTTCCAAGGTGGCCGAACTATTAAAACCAACACCGAAAATCTGGGATCATCTTCCCCCTGTGGAGGCAACCTTCTGCCTAGGTGTTGGTGCCAATTTCCAGGCCTCCGAAATACGAAACATGTTACAGTTGCGATGAACTACGAAGAAAGGTAACATATGATGATGATGATGCTGATGCTGATGCGGATGATGATGATGATGATGATGTTGATGTTGATGATGATGATGATGATGATGATGATGATGATGTTGTTGTTGTTGTTGTTGTTGGTGGTGTTATTGTTGTTAATGTTGTTGTTGTTGTTGTTGTTGTTGTTGTTGTTGTTGTTGTTGTTGTTGAATAGGGACGCGCGTCGTGCCCCGGGCTGCCCCCCCTCCAACAACAACAACAACAACAACAACAACAACAACAACAACAACAAACGCCGAGGGCTCCCGCCTGGGACTTTCTCACAATCCACCGGCCCTATAGGATTCGCATCGGATTTAGATAGGATTCATAGGATTCCTATAGGAATCCTATAGGATTCGTTCAGGATTCATAGGACTCCTATGGGACTCCTATAAGATTCGTATGGGATTCATGGAATGCCTATAGGATTCCTATAGGATTCGTATCGGATTGCGTAGGGTCCCTATAGGGTTCCTATAGGATTCCTACAGGATCCATATAGGACCTATCAGATTCCTTTGGAATTCCTATGGAATTCGCATAGGACTCATGTGATTCCTATAGGGTTCGCTTAGGATTCATAGAATTCCCACCGGATTCCCATAGGACTCGTATAGGATTTCATCGGATCCCTATAGCGTTCCTATAGAATTCCTACAGGATTCATGTAGGATTCGTTGGATTACTGTAGGAGTCCTAAGGGTTCGTATAGGATGTATAGGATTCCCATGGCACCCCTTTAGGATTCTCAGGATGCCTATAGGATTCCTTTGGGATTCGTGCAGGGTTCATATGATTCCTTCTAGACTTCCCATCGGGTTCCTACAGGATTCATATAGGATTCATAAGATTCCTATAGGATTCTTATAGGATTCGAATAGGGTTCCTGTAGGATTCGTATGGGACTCGTACAAGAATTATTGGATTCCTATGAGATTTTTATGGGATTTATGGAATTCCTAAAGAATTCCTGTAGGATTTCTATGGGATTGGTATAGGATTCATAGGATCCCCAGAGGGTTCCTATAGGATTCCTAGAGGGTTCATATAGGACCTATAGGATTCCTATAGGATTCGCATAGGATTCGCACAGGATTCTATAATGTCCATGGGATTCCCATTGGTTTCGTATAGGATTCATCGGATCCTCACAGGGTTCCTAGAGGATTCATACGGGACTCATATAGGATTCATAGGACTCCTGTGGGATTCCTAGGGATTCGTATAGGATTCATAGGATTCCGATGGGATTCT